TGTTGATTTTATACCCTGCAACTTTGCTGTAGCTGTTTATTATTTCTAATAGTTTTCCTATGGATTCTTTGGGGTTTTCTATATATAAGATCATGTCATCTGCAAACAATGAGAGTTTTACTTCTTGATTGCTTACTTGGATTCCTTTTATTTCTTTTTCCTGCTGAATTGCTCTGGCCAACACCTCCAGTACTACGTCGAATAAGAGTGGTGAAAGTGGGCACCCTTGTCTTGTTCCTGTTCTCAGAGGGATGGCTTTCAGTTTTTGTCCATTGAGTATGATGTTGGCTGTGGGTTTGTCATATATGGCCTTTATTATGTTGAGGTACTTTCCTTCTATATCCATTTTATTGAGGGTTTTTATCATAAATGGATGTTGGATCTTGTCAAATGCTTTTTCTGCATCTATTGAGATGATCATGCTGTTTTTGTTTCTCATTTTGTTAATGTAGTGTATCACGTTGATTGACTTGCAGATGTTGAACCATCCCTGTGTCCCTGGTATAAATCCCACTTGATCGTGGTGTATCAATTTTTCCTTTTATGAATTGTATTTTTGTTGTCAAGTCTAGGAAATTTCCACTAACCTTAGGTCCTGGAAATTTTCTTATATTTTTTCTAAAAGTTTCATATTTTATATTTAAGTTTATGATTGTGTAATAAATAACTTGACTGGCCTTTGTCCCTAGTTCCTAGGAGATAACCACTAAACCTTTGGAATTTCCTGAGTGATTGGAGTGCCTTTTGTCCCTTTTTCTTTGGCCCTTGGGACCACACTTGCTAGTTTATGCTAACAATGTGACTCATGGTGAACCTCTAGAGAGTTTATGCTAATGAGATAACTCAAGATGGATACTGGCCACACCAGAAAGACCAGTTATGTGAGTGGAGGGTTGGGGCTTTGAGCCACATGATATCAACCTTTGGAGAGAAAAGGGAACTGGAGATGAAGTTCAACCACATGGTTGATGATTCAATCAATCATGCTTATACAGTCATGCATTGCTTAATGATAAGCAATCTCTCTTCTGAGAAATGCATCATTAGGCAATTTCATCATTGTGAAAACATCAGAGAGTATACTTACACAAACCTAAATTGTATAGCCTACTACACACCTAGGCTATATGGTACTAATCTTATGAAACCACAATTATGTATGCAGTCTTACATTGACCAAAACATCATTATGTGGCACACAACTGTATAAAGAAACTCTAATAAAAACTCTGGACACTGCAGCTCAGGTTGTGTTTCCTGACTGGCATGACAATGAATAAGGCATTCTGCAGGTTCATGATGGTGGTGCTGGCAGAGGCATTATAAGCAACGAAGGCAAATCTATATCCAGATATTTATCTATTTCATTGAGGAGAAATCTTTCCCTCCATGATGAAAAGGGGCTAATTTAATCAGTCTGCTACCAGATGGCTGTCAGCCATATCACAGCCATGCATAGCATGAGGAAATAAGCCAAACCCTCCCCAGAAATGAAAAGTTAAAGCATATGTCTTTGAAGACACTGTTATGTAACAGAAACAACATGATTAACTGTTTAGCTCTAGACAAGTGGGTTAAATTTCTAGGTTTGAGAACCTTTACACAATTAAAAATGATTGAGTACCTATATAGTGAAGAATTAATTTTATCCAAATAGATGTCTGGTCTTTGCCCTCAGCTACTGGGTAGTGATCTCTAGGTCCCTAGAATGTCCTCCTCAATAGGAACATCTTTGCCTGGAGCTTTGGCCACTGGACAGTTTAACAGTGTAATTCAAGGTGGGGTCTTTGGAACATGCTGTATCAGTTCCAATCTATGGAATAACTTGAGACTAAAGGTATTAGCCTGTACCTCCAGGAGGGGCTGGAGACTAATAGTCAGCCATGCAGGCAGTATGTAATTGAGCCCTAGTAAGAACTCTAGACACCAAAAGTTCAGGTGACCTACACTGGTTAGCTATACTCTTTAGGTATTGTCACATATCACAGTCATGAGAGCAATGCATCCCTTTGGAACTTTCTCAGATCTCACCTTGTGTGTCTCCTCTAGTATGTATTATTTGCCCATAATGAACATCACTGTGAGTATAATAGGCTTCAGTGAGTTATGTGAGTCATTCTAGTGAATTATCAAACCTGAGAAGGTCATGGGAACCTCTGAATTTGTAGCCATGTGGTCAGAAGTGGGAGTGGCTTGAGGACTCCTGAACTTATAGCTGGTGTCTGATGTGAGAGCAGTCTTGTGGAGGACTATACCCTTAACATATGAGGTATGGCCCAACACATTGCAGGCATCCATTCTGAGTAATTTTTGCATAAAGTGTGAGATTTAGGTTGAGATTTAGTTTTATACTTACATATGTTCAATTGTGTCAAGAGCATTTGACACAAATCTGTTGGTCTATGTCACTCTCCAAATGGATCTGGAACGCATGTATGACTTTGTAATGTCATGCATTGGTCATTTGGAAAATACCTGTTTAGTGAGTTATCTAACCTAGTGTTTTAGTTTTTTTTCCCGAGGAAGATTAGCCGCCCTAAGCTAACATCTGCCAATCCGTCTCTTTTTTCTGAGGAAGACTGGCTCTGAGCTAACATCTGTGCCCATCTTCCTCTGCTTTATATGTGGGACGCCTACCACAGCATGGCTTGCCAAGCGGTGCCATGTCCGCACCCGGGATCCAAACTGGCGGACCCCGTGCCGCCGAAGCGGAACATGCGCACTTAATTTATGCACCACCTGACCTGCCCCTAATCTCGTGGTTCTTAACTGAGGGTGATTTAACCCTCTAAGAAATGTTTTGCAATGTCTGGAAACAAATTTGGCTGTCACGTTTGGGGGTTGCTGCTAAGTAGAGGCCAAAGATGCTGCTAAACACCTTACAATGCACATAACAGCCCTTCACAACAAAGAATTGTGCAGCCCCAAGTGTCAATAGTTCTAAGTTGGGAAACCCTAGTCTATTTAATGCTGACATATTTCATTATATAAAATGAAAAATTTTATTTGTTAACATCCTCAGCAATATTTTTGGGAAAGTCTGTAAGTATTAGGAAGCTGTGAAGATCCATAGTGGATATAAGTTCCCCAAAACCTATAAGCTCAAACTTTATCATTTACAACCTATATTTTCTGTCAGAACTGACTATAGTGGAGCCATTTAAAATGGAATCAGAGCTGCCTTTCCAGAGAAACTGCCTTGCTGTCTTGAATCTTGCACTGGGTCAAACCTTTGAACTGGTCAAAATGGCAATTGTTTTACAAGCAATTGTTTGAGAAGTTGGGAAGAGAATGGACATCCGGATCACAAAGACTGAGGATTATCGACTTTCTGAAAATAGAAACGATTGTCAATCAATGTTTAACCAAGATTAGCTCTCTGCCTCCAACTCCCATTAAAATTCTTTGTACTAAGTATTCTTACTAACACTGTAATAATAACTCCTTTAAAAGTCCCTGCCTTTTACTCCCTAGGGGGACACTATTTGTGTTTCTACCTTAATCTGTGCTCCCTGAATTGCAATTCTTGAGATGCCAAATAAATTTTTTGCTTCTCTTGCAGTTTATGCCTCTTATTTGTTGACATTTCAGTTATTTTTCTTCATGTTACAAAGCACATTTCACTCATTTTCAAGAAACTGTCTTAGAAATAGCAAAGCCTGAAGAAGTGTTTGTCAGTCATTTTTGCAATTGAAATTGGTGTTCCATGGAAAAAGGAGTTACTATTTCCCACAACGACTTAACTTGCTTTACTCAAGAGGGCCATCGTACTTGCATATGGTATAAATGCTTTATGGGTACTCACCTCCGTTTTCTTTTTGCCGTGAATGTGTGAAATGACTAATACAATGACTAATAATACAGCTTGGTGTCACTGCTTTGAGTAAAGTAGTAGCAGATTTACCCACCATTGCTTTTGAACCGTCAGTGAAAATGTCAACACAGTGGAAAAAGCACATTATCTTATTATTATTATTAGAAAAAAATTTGAACTTATAGACCCCCTGCAAGAATCTCAGGGATTCCCAGGGACCCAACGATCATACTTTGAGAACTTGCACTCTAGATTTGTGTGAGATAAATAAGCCTCTGTTTGGTTAAGGTACCATTAATTAGCTTTTTAAATATAAAATAATTTGTATCTATAGTTGTCAAACCATCTTCTGCAGACTTGACAAAAAGTCAGCAGTTACACAGGGATACTTTACAAAAAAATATTTTTCTCTTTTTTCCAGCTTTATTGAGATAAATGGACAAATAAAAATTGTGTATATTTAAGGTATATAATACGATGTTTTGAAATACATATACATTGTGAAATGATTACCGTAATGAAGCTAATTAACGTATCCATCACCTCACATAATTATCATTTGTGTGTGGGGGGAGGGTAAGAGCACTTAAGATCTACTCTTTTGGCAAATTTCAAGTATCCAATATGGTATTATTAACTATAGTCATCATACTGTACATTAGATCTCTGGAATTTTTTTATCTGCATAACTAAAAGTTGAGACTCTTGAATTTATAGTGACTTACTTCAAATTCTGAAAGAGGATAAGTATAAGGAGTTAAGAAGCAACCCTTTTTCCATAGTTTAAATGTTTATTTTTGATTGTAATTAAAGGCTTGAAATCACTGCAATACCCACCATTAATGTTCTGCTAAATAATATAGAACTTTCATATATACTAGATTAGGGTAAACCATACAGTGGAAAAAAACACTATCTGTATTAGAGAATACTATTTTCCATTGGGGAAAAAATGAGATAAATCTATATACTAAAGTGGAATAATCTTCCAGAAATATCAAGTGAAGAGACCATGGTACAGAGCCATTCTTTGATTCTGTTTGCTTTTTCTCTTTGCTATACCAATATATATTTCCTTTTAAAACATGCCTCATATTATCTGTATCTTTGTGTTGTACTCAAAAGTAGGGTAGCATGTCCTTATCAGGCAGTTCTGCCTAGAAATCAGCACAACGTGCTCTCTTGTACTTCTCCTCCCTTGTTCCAAACTGTTGCAAACACAGTGAATATTTGGTCCATAACTGGAGACAGTGGAAACGACACCAGCTTTGGAGTTAGTTCAGACCTGCATCTGCTGCATAGCTGAAATCTTGGGCAAGTAAGTTACTTAATTTTTCTGAATCCAAATTTTCTCACTTGGCATATGGCATTGAAAATTTGTGTGTCTCATATCTACTATGAAGACTAAAGGAGGTAAAGCACATAAGCACTCAGCACAATGCTAGGTGCATAGTAAGTGCTTCATAAATGACAACTATCGTTAATTTACTTCAGGGTCTAAGGGACTTGTTTAGATTTTTTTTTTTTTTTTTTTTAAAGATTTTATTTTTTCCTTTTTCTCCCCAAAGCCCCCCAGTACATAGTTGTATATTCTTCGTTGTGGGTCCTTCTAGTTGTGGCATATGGGACGCTGCCTCAGCGTGGTTTGATGAGCAGTGCCATGTCCGCGCCCAGGATTCGAACCAACGAAACACTGGGCCGCCTGCAGCAGAGCGCGCGAACTTAACCACTCGGCCACAGGGCCAGCCCCGACTTGTTTAGATTTTATGAGCTCTGCTTTCCCAATTCTCTTTCTATAAATACATTGTACAGTCCAGCCCTCCCTGGTAAACTGCTCTGGAAAGGTAAGTAATTATAAGAGTCTGCCTGGTTCTTTTGGTACTTTTTAAAGGAAAATTCCATATTTCCCTTTCTCCTGCCCAGAGAGTCCTTTAAAGAAGAAGAATATTCTTTGTCCTCTTGATTTCAAAGTGGAGTTTATCTTTCTTTAGATGCCTTTTGTGTGTTTATGGTTAAATGCATTACTGTATGTTATAAGTTGAATATTATAAATTATTTATTGTATAAAAGCCTGTTTAGCAAAACAGCCACAATTTAAAACAAGTCAACAATAGTTTGTACTAAAAGCTAAAACCTGAGATAATGTCTACACTAGACTTTCTTATTGACTTAAATTATATTGTAGAAATATAACCTTTTAAAATAGTTTTTAAAAAGTTTTATTTCTTCATTTTTAGCTCTTTCAGTCTGGCATGGCAGAAAAACCAATGAATATGTCCACACAAATACCTGATGAAGAAGATGTGGTTGAGTATATCTTTCAAATAGAACTCTCCATTCTGTACTTCAATAAGATAGTGTAGCTTTAAAATACTGACTCAGAAAACGGATAGAGATCTAGAAGATAAAGGCTTATGTTTGTTATGTTTGGACATGAATTAGCTTTTATATCGATTGACGTTAAATATCAATGATGGTTAAATATTTACTGCATATTTCTTGAGTCTGCAAGGCCTTTTTAATAGTTCAAAAGACTATTCCTATTTAACACTAAGGAATAACAAATTAAAACTTCAGAACCTCCCATTAGGTGAGAACAACAGTACTATTTTGATCCATATGCTTGTGGAACTTTATGTACTGTTAATAAGTAACTTTAAAATGCAGTTATTTTAGGAAGTGGTTGAGTGGCTGCTTCTTTATTGCTTTACTGAATGGGAGAATGAATTAAGTTCCATTTAAGATGAGCTTCTATACTAGTGAGAAGATAAAATAATTCACATAAAAATTTACACTAAAAGAGAGTAGAATGTATGAATGGGTGAAAACTGGGTTTTAGAATTCTTTTTGACCAAAATGTCAAATATATACATGAATACTGAGCTATGTTAAATAGTGTTTGTTTATGTTTTAATAACTAATGGCTCTCATTGTTTTCTCTTCCTCCAAACATGCGTGTTTTTCTATATCTTAGTTTGAACCAACAAACTCATATTTTTTTCTCCTCTCTTTCTCCCTGTTACTTCTCTGAAGTTAATGGCTTATTCCATCTTTATTTTTCTATCAGCCACATTTTTAAAATCACCCTTGATTCATCTTTCTTCATTGCTTTTGTGAAAGTACTGTCAAAGTCATGGCTTAGTGACTAAATCACTGGATTATGCCCATTCCATATTATCTTTGACTCCCCTTCTGCATTTAAATCATGGTGAATGCTCTTTTGTTTAGGCAACATTAAAATCACAAAATTTTAGAATTAGAAGGAATCCCAAAGGCCAATTAATCAAACTTTAACTTGATATATAAATGATTGCTACAAACCATTTAGTACATAATCTTCCACTCTGTTTTTGAACCCTTCTACAATTGGCAACTTAGTTTATTCTCTCTATTAAATATTAAAAATAATGTTCTTGCAAAGATAATTTCAAACAATGGGAAAGAGAAAACACTTCTCTGAACCTAGGTTTTTTTTTTAAATCAGGAATAAGTAATCTTTGGACAACTTTTCATATCAGCACATACAGATCAACCTTATTCTTAATAGTTCTGTACTGTTGCTGTTATGAAAGTACTTTTCTTCGATAACCACTCCCCTCTTGGTAGCTATAAGGTAATTTGGGTTTTTCTTGTTTTTGATTTTTTACTATTCTATACAATGCTGCATTGAATATCCTCCTACATAGCTTTTCATGGACACATTGAATTATTTTTCTGGAAATGGAAGTGTTGAGTCAGAAAGTATATGGAATTTAAAATTTGATAGTAATTATCAAATCACTCTATAAAGATATTATGCCAATTTATACTTCAGCCATCAATATGTGAGAATGCCTGGTTTTTTGTCTCTTTCCTATATTGGAATTCAAGGTTTAAGTAGACACATTTAATTTTTGGATGCCTTTAATTATGAGAAAATTTTTGTCATATATTATATGACATTTGCTCCTTGGAACTTGTCCTCCTTTCACCACTCTCTCGAATGTCACAAAATGAATGAAATTCTTTTTCGATATGACAGTCTTCATGTGTTTTCATATCTATTCCTCTAAAATGCCTCTTTTCCTCACACTTCAAATATCCAGTTTTCTCACTTTTTAAAAAAATTGAGATATAACTGACATATAACATTGCAGTAGTTTTAGATATGCAACGTAATAATTTGATAAATGCGTATATTGCAAAATGATTACCAAAATAAGTTCAGGTAATATCTATTGCCAAACATAGTTATAATTTTTCCTTTTGTGATGAGAACTTTGAAGATCTACACTCTTCTCACAGTGTTTTTTTTTTAAAGACTTTATTATTTTTTTTCCTTTTTCTCCCCAAAGCCCCCCAGTACATAGTTGTATATTCTTTGTTGTGGGTCCTTCTAGTTGTGGCATGTGGGACGCTGCCTCAGCGTGGTTTGATGAGCAGTGCCATGTCCGCGCCCAGGATTCGAACCAACGAAACACTGGGCCGCCTGCGGCGGAGCGCACGAACTTAACCACTCAGCCACGGGGCCAGCCCCTCACATAGTGTTTTAACTTAAGTTCTGTTACTAGCCTAGTCACTCTCCCTTGGGGTCTTTCCTTAATATCTCCCTCTCTCCTTCTCTCTCTCTCTCTTCCTGTCATTCTCCCTTCCTCTTTTTTCCACCTTCTCTTTCCCTTTTTCCAGGGTATTTAATGGGCAGTGACACTGTACCAGGAACTATACAAAATGTGGAATGATATACAGTGTTCTAGTGTCCTTCCTGGAGTTGAAGATAAATTTACAAGAAAGATTTGACCAGTAGAGATAAGTTCAGATTGCCCATTCTTTATCTGGATACACTGATTATCATAGGTTTTTTTCTCTGAAGTTGTGTTACCAAATCAGGTTAGTTTTTGCCCACCGCCTAGGAAGCCAAACACTGAGACTATGAGATTGCAGCAGAGAGAGAGTTTAATCACAACACAGCCATGTGAGGAAGTGAGAGCATGAGCTTCAAATCCACTTCCCTGGAAATGTGGACTCAAGGATATTTATGAGTTAGGGGGGCAAGGTGGTCTGAAATGTGGAGACACGTGATTGGAGGTGAGGAGAAGTGAGGTAATTGATGATCTGCACAGGCGTAGTCAGACTTCATGCCTTTTCATAGGACCCATGTTCACAAAATGGCGGTGTTAGCATGACCTGAGGGTGGAGTTTTTAGCCAATTGACATCAAAAGGTCACCTATTGGACATCTCTGCAGGCCCGGTTGATGAGTTGGTGGTCTCAACTGGCCTGTAGTGGACGAGGAATTCCAATTTCTGAATAACTACTCATCCACCAATTACCATGGTGACCAAGGCTCTAGGGAGATGTTTTCTATAGGAACCTAGTGGGAGTCAGAGAGCATATTCCCTAAACAGCACAGTTAACAACAAGTGGGTTAAACAGCTAAAAGCTATAATCAGTAATTGCAAAAAGGAAAAAAACCTTTAGTTCCTAGCTACTTAATCATCAGTGGCTAACTCTTTGCTGGTTTCAGTTGTTTTACAATATTAAGTCTTTATACATCAACTAAGTTTCTTGCTTCTTTTCCCTTTTTGTGCTTTTATGAAGCTTTATTTGCCTTTAAGCCATGGGTTGTAAATGCAGCATATTCATTTGGATTTTACCTAGCTTTCTCACTTGTCACAATATTTTCTATAATTGGCATTGTATTGATTCTTTTTTCTGTCTCCTAGTCTGGCAAGTCATCATCTCCTTTTTAGACTAACCTTTTCACCTCCTGAGAGTGGGCATTTCCCATTTCTCATTTTTGGGCCTTTTGTTCTTCTTTATCTGCTTTCAAGCCTCCACTGTGTTCAAATGTATCCAGTCGCTTTCAGGATATGTCTATACTTTCCTTAAAATTAAAATTCTAAAACTCAAACTTATCTTTCTCTCACACACAAAAAATACTAGCTTTCTCCTCTGATTTTCTTATCACTGATCATTGTAGCTGGTTAGCTGTCAAGTTCTTTTGATTCTTTTTTTCAGAACATCTCCCTCATCTCTGTTTTTTTTTTTTTTTTTTTTTTTCCATTCACACCAGTAACTTTATCACTGATTTTTTTTGGGGAAGTGGGCCCACAACTCATCTTCTGGCTCTGGTTTCCTCTCCAGGCCACTTTGCATATCAGTTCCTTATTCATCTTTTTGAAATGCTTATTTCTTCTACTATTCCCTTGCTCAAAATGTCCAGTCACTGCCCATTACCATTTAGATAAAATCTATATTCCTTAGCTTCATATTCCAAACTCTAGAGAGTTGGGGTTCTTTTTCTCTTTTCAATTTTCCTTACTTCAGTTTCCCAATTTAAATCTTTCCCTTTATGTAGGGAAGTTCCTTACTACACAAAGGCACATAGTCTATACTTCTACTTCTAAGCCCATTGCCATATTTGCCTCTTGTTCATAATACTTATCTCCTCCATACACATTTATCCTTTTAGTGCCAATCTACTATCTTTTTGAATTATCCTTAACTACTTCATACCATAGTCATCTATCCTTCTTCCAAATTCCTATATTATTTATTGACTTTTGTATAATTTTCGTACTCAGTATGATATTAACAAATATTTTAACTTTTTTTGCATGGCTTTTATTCTCATTGAAATTGCAGGCTCTTCATAAATAAGGGTCGACTTATAGAACATTAGAATGTGAAAGAATTTTAAGCTCACCTGGTCAAATGATCTCATTTTACAAAAGAGAAAACAGAGGCACCAGTGACTATCCCAAAGGCTCACAATAACTAGTGACTTTTCTTATTCAGTTGTCACCAGTGCCACTGGAAAAGAGTGAGTACAGGTTAAACATCAGGGCTTGTCAGAGCTTAGAGTCTTTTATAATTTATAGACTATAACTTTATGTACATTAGCCCATTTGCTAGATATAGTTCATGTGTACTTGCTATCATGATGAATTAAAATAATCTATGATTAGTACTTCCATTTCATGTAAATATATACAAAATAATCTTTTAAATGGTATTTTAAGTCTTATATTTTTATATACTTACTTTACTTCTTAATTTGCTTTATCTGTGGATGGTGCAAAGGTGACTTCAAGAACAAGATTTGAATGATCACAAATTCCAAATTAGTAGAATCTGAACCGTTTAAGTTTTCTACATAGATATAGGCATTTTATAAAAATAAATACTATAAGAAAGAACTTTTGGCTCATTAGAAGACATTTCTTAAGAAATAGTGCTGATGGCCAGCCCTGGTGGCCTAGTGGTTATGTTTGGCGTGCTCCACTTTGGCAGCCTGGGTTTAGTTCCCCAGTATGGACCTACACCAC